GGGCGGCTCATCATGGACTGCGCAGGCTACCAGTACACTTGGATACAAGAAGAAGAAGAAGAAGCGAAAAAAAGACAGCGCCGCGTAGTAGCCCCTCGTGTCTGGTCTGACGGGACAACGGGCCTTGTCGTCTCGTTTGCGTTGCCAAGCAGAGTGGGTGGCGTGGACTGTGGGTGGATCGCCGGTGACATGTGATAGGACTGACATGTGAGAATCATGGCTTTTGTGGTGACCCCCAATTTGCTGCCGCCGGGCGCTCTCGTCTGGGTCCCATTGCCATCGCCGTCGTTTGCTCCCCTCGCACCTTGGCCCTACATCCGCTCAGCTATGCCGTAGCCCGGCCAATCCATCCTGCTGCCCTTCTACTCTGACTGTCATGCTGCCTCTGCCTTGTGCGTGACCAGCCGCCCACTCCCCTGAACGACATCATTGCTGCGTCCCCTCTCATTTTGCGCTCCTGCGCTCCTGCGCCCCGGCATCCGATTCCGCTCCCGCTGAGCCCCCATTCCCTTTCGAGCCCGCTTCTCCGACCCTTTGCTAAGCATTGCCATCGCTCGCGGGAACAGGGCAGCGCGACGTAGCCCAACTCTCTCCAGTCGAGCACAGCACACCGTCTGGTCGCATTGCCAAAACACCGTCCCGTCGTGCTTCGCGCACCGAGCGTACGTGGGGTACCGCTAGTCGCCCGCATCACAACCGACACGCTTCTTTGAACACGCCCTGCCAATTCACAATGGAGCAGGAACGCCCACTCCAGCGTGCCCCGCCGCCTGCATACACCCAGCACGAGCCTGAGTCGCTGCATCTGCCCTCGGTACCAACTCATATACCCACTCACAGCCATCACCCCGACAATGCACGACTCCCAGGCATCAAGTCGCTGCATCTACCCGAGACCAAACCACGTCACACACCGCACACCTCCATAGAATACAGCCCGCGCACAAATTTCGAGGCGTCGCATTGGGGCGTCTTGCCTGCCCCAAATGGCACAACCTTCCCAAGCGTGCCAGAAAGCCTGCCGCGCGAAGATGTAGGAAGCCCCATGGACACGTCTAGTATACGAGAAACGAGCGTCAGTATGGATGACCCAGATGTACGATTGGCAGCCGAGGCGCTAAGCGGACTGGGCAACCCAGGTATGTGGGGGTGGTACCCTCATGGCAAAGAGTAAGCATATACTAATTACAGGCTATAGACTTTGTCCGTTCTCCAACGGCACGATCCCTCACATTGTCTGCCCGCTCACCCACTGCTGAACCACCGGAACCACTTCTTTCACTAATTACTTCGAACCACCCATGGCTGGGAAGTTCCATCAATGGCTCCATATCCGCTTACAATACGACAAAAGGATACACGCCGCGTCTAGTCCAATATGGTGCCGAACTGCTGGAACGCAACATTGGATCGCCTGTAGTAAACACTGTTTCATCTGTAGGCAGAAGAACCGGTATGGAAAAGAGCCTGCGCCGTTACCTGGGCGAAGGACACCGCCGACCCAGTGATCTTGAACAGGGTGACAGCGACAGTTCCAGAAGTAAGAGACAGAGGATTGCGAGTCCCGCAGACGATGCTATGGATGTAGATGATGCACTTGCGGCAGCATCGCGAACAAGAGGGGGATCTCAATCATCTTACTCTGAATCGCTTCCAGCCTACGATGACCAGAGATCGCCAAATTACGAAGAGGCGATTGTATCGGGAGATGCGACTGGACCGAAAGCACCAGAACGGCGGTCTGAGACCCCACAGGACCGTCGTGTAAACTGGTCTACACAGCTCATCATGACAACCTCTGGTCTTGGTGTCGCTCTGTCCGAGACATCACTGCGCTCCCTGAAAATCTGCCTAGGTCTCCTCCGCAGCGCAACAACACACATTGACTCAGTCATGCGTGCTCTCAAGCTCGTCCTGGAAGAATACGAGGCCGCGCTACGCAACCAACGGGAATCCTCCTCCAACATCAACAACCACAACATTGCCCAAGACGAAAAAGCCCAACTCAACGGCAACATGGCGCAAATGGGCCTCGTCGATTCCGACAAAGACGACCAAGTCCGCCGCTTCGCCGACCGCATCAAAGAGCTCTCCTCCGACATCTGGCAAACCCTCCAATCCGTCGTCCAATCCGTCTCCCGCTACACGGGCGGCGCCCTCCCGCAAAACGCCCAAACAGTCGTTCGCACCCAACTCCTCTCTGTGCCCCAGCGCTGGCAACTCGCTAGCCGCAACACTAGCGGCAGCAGCAGCAGCAACAGTACTACTGGTGGTGACGAAGTCCGTGGCGCAAACCGCATGCTGGCGTTTGCCAAAGAAGGGCTTGACATGATGGGTCAGATTACGACTGTGGTGGATGGAACGGTACAGAGTGCAGAGTGCTGGCTTCAACGTATTGGACGGAGACCTGTTGCTGGTAGTGAGGAGGAGAGGAGTGGGGGGCAAGGAGGGGTAGAGAGCCAGAAGACGCCGCTTGCGCTTGAGGCTGGTTTGGGCATGAGGGATGAGAAGAGGTAGTGATTTATTTTATGATGTTCTTGTTTGTTCATACACATATATACATGTCGTTGTTGTGGAAGTTGGTTTTTTTTGGGGGGAGAGGGGTTTTTTTTCTCTCTTTCTCCTTCTCCCCCTCCTTCTCTTCAAACTCGTCTCCACTCCTCATCCTCCCCCCCCCCTTTTTTTTGTCCTTTTTTGTTCTTCTTGCTCGTCCGTCGACCCCTTTTTTTTGTGTTTGTGTGTGAGAGAGAGAGTGAGAGAGAGAGAGACTATGTGTGTGCGTGTGTGTGTGTGTGTGTGTGTGTGTGTGTCTCTGATGCGTTTTTTTTGTCCAAAGTTGAGAGTACGCAATGGAGGGGGAAAAAAAAAGTGCAAACCAAGGGATGAGTGTTGTGGGAAAGAGAAAGGGAAAGAAAAAAAGGAAATATGAGGGCTAGGTTGTGTGTGTGTGTGTGTATGTGTGTATGATGGGGAACATGGTAAGTGAAGGAGAGGAGAGGAGAGGGGTTTTTTAAAGGGGGGGGGTCAGTCTGGCGAGTGAAGATGGGGAAGGTGGAGGATGTGGAATACAGACGTGTGTGTGTGGGTGCGTGGGTGGTTGAGATATATTATCCCAAGTGAGAAATTTAATTTCCTTTATGGATGTTTGGTTGCGTGTATGGGTTGGTGAAAGTGATTGATTTTCTTCCTTGCGCTTGCGTGTTTTTTTTTTCAAATGACTCTGTGGTGCTGTTTTTGAGGGTCGAGGGGGTTGGGCGAGGGTGGGTGTTTGTGTAACGGTGTGGTTGGGCTTGAGAAGGAAGGAAGGAAGGTGGAGAAAGTTGACTAATGTGAGTACAACACCACTTCGTCGTATACGTTGTTCTGACTACCCTGATCGAAATTGCTGTACCAATTCTATTCTATTCGTTCTTTCTATCGAGTTGCTCGTAGCTAAGTCGCCGTGGCTGCAGTCAACACTATATGATGCAGCCTTGCCCCTCGTGCCGGTTGCAGCCTTGGCTCTGCCACAGTTGAGCTGGCAGCCATGGTGACTCTTGCTGACGTTGATCTGGCAGTCCTGAGAGCTCTGCTTCTCAGCTATTTATATGAATCGGCCAGACAACTTCGCAGTCTGTAGAGGGTGCAATACCTCTCACTGAATGACCGTACTGTGCTGGAGACCGGCCCAACTCCTACTATGCAACCACTCTGCACTACTAGCGTAAACCGGCTCGGCTTCACAAGGCTGACACCCAGCACGCAGAATGATGACGAATTTTGTGTCAAGTACGATCGCATTCACATATGTGGCAAAATTACTAACATCGTTCAGCATCATATTCATCCACGGCTTGCGAGGGCATCCTCAACAAACATGGGCAGTAGTTGCAAAACCGAGTAGTCTCGACAGTCATGCTACTACCAAAAATCCGAAGGATCACGCTAGATGGCCCTTCCTCCGGCGACGATTGGCCAAGTCTCCTGTACCAGAACCGTTACAAGCGCAAGAGCCTCACTCAATTTCTGCTCCACCATCGCCGTCTCGCATCTTCTGGCCAGAAGATTATCTCGTACCGGACGTTCCCAGGGCTTGCGTGTGGACGTATTGATACAACGCGGACGTTATTAGCAGTCTCTTCAAAGCCGAAAACAAGAACAGCATCTCACAGCATGGTCAAGATTTGTCTGTTAAACTGGAGCGAGATATTTGCATTAAGGTATGAGCTGGGCTAATTGCAGGGTCCCTCGAGAATTGTATCTGAGCGCCTTACAGAAACCATTGTTATTCGTAGTACATAGTCTTGGTGGAATCGTACTCAAAGATGTAAGGAATCTACAGCGCGATAGACTACGTTATCACTGCTAACTTGGTTGCTATAGGCCATCCGCCGATCGAAGACCACGAGGGAGCAAACAAAACTCATAGTGTTTCTTGGGACGCCACACCGGGGCAGCCAATTCGCAGGCTGGGGTCTTATTGCATCGAATCTTGTTCGAGTAGCAATGCAAGACCCAAACAAGAAGATTCTGGCGACACTAGAAGTGAAAAACGAAGTTCTGGATAACATCCATGAAGGGTTCATACGAATTGCCTCCAAGGGCAAATTCAAGGTTCACTCCTTCCAGGAAGCACGAGGCGTCACAGGTGTGCCTGGATTGAATGGAAAGGTAGGCATGATAAAGAAACTTCTGGGAGAAGCTGACAATTCTAGGTGGTGGACAACTTCTCTTCCAAGCTCGACCTCCCGCGAGAATTTGAGACTGTCGAGAGCATCGATGCCAATCACATGCAAATGGCTCGTTCCAGTAGTAAAGATGATCACATATACTGCGCCATCTCTGGTGTTTTGAAAGCATGTGTGAAACAGGAACTGAAGAACCAGCAGTTGCTTTCCGCTTCTAAAAGAACTCCTACGGGATCGATAGATGCTGCTTGTACGTAAGGTCATAATATACAAACTATTGCAAGACACAACGCTTATTGGGAATTTTTATTACTAGCAAGTAGAGCTTTGTTCATGGTGCCTTTTTCACAAGATAGTTTCTTCATTGGACGGGGAGATGTCATCCGCCGGATCAAAGAGTGCAGAAAAGCTGCATGTTCACACACGCGCATAGCTCTCGTTGGTCTTGGGGGGGGTAGGGTCAGTATTCACACATATTTTCTTTGTAGAAAGTGCACTAAACCATTTTTAGAAAGTCACAAATTGCGATTGAGTACGCATATCAAGCCCGCAAGGAAACACCCCACCTGACGGTCATGTGGATACATGCAAGCAGCCCCGAAAGATTACAACAGGAATACACGAAAATTGCCGAAAAGCTTCAGTTGCCTGGATGGGATGATCCCAAGGCAAATGTACTAAAGCTTGTATGTGATTGGCTGTTGGACAGCCAAAATGGGCAATGGCTAATGATATTGGATAACGTTGACGAAACTGAAATTCTTCTCAGCAGCAATCAGGAAAGTGGTTCTCTTGAGAGCTATCTTCCACAAACCACGCACGGGACAATCCTAATCACATCAAGAAACAAGATTGCAGCAGCCAATCTTGTTGGTGTACCCAGTGGCATTATTGAGGTAGAACCGATGAGCGAAGAAGACGCAGTAGCGCTGCTTCACACGAGAGTATCCTCTACGCAGTCAGACCCAGCAGATGCTAAGGCACTCGTTCAAGCATTGGAGTGTATTCCGCTAGCCATCACCCACGCCGCGGCGTACATTCATAAACTAAAAGGAGCAGTGACGATAAGCGGCTACCTCAATCTTTTTCGCGAAAGCGAGGCCAATCAGGTGCGCTTGCTTAGCGAAGATGGGTTGAAGGACATTCGGCGCGATCCAAGCATACGGCATGCAGTAATATCGACATGGGAGATCTCATTTGAACACATCCGAAAGACGGAGCGATCGGCAGCGGACTTACTTGCGCTCATGAGCATGTTCCACAGGCAAGATATCCCACGAAAGCTATTGCAAGGTACGACTAGCGAACTGGATTTCAACGATGCTCTGGCGCCGCTACTTGGCTTCTCTTTTGTGAAAATTGAGGTCGGGCAGCAGGCAATGACGATATATCGCTTGGTGCAGCTATCGATGAGGCGATGGTTAGAGAAAGAGAAAGAGAAAGAGATTGAAAAGTGGGTTAAAGAATCTACACGAGCTATGAATATGGTTTTCCCAAGTGGGGAGTACGGGACATGGGAGGAGTGTCGAGTGCTGCTGCCGCACTTCAAAGAAACTATCAGCCATGCCACGACCGATAAAGAAGTGTTGGAAATGCGAGCAGAGACTTCGTCAAGGGCTGCTAAATACCATCTCGAAATCGTCGAGTATACGATTGCAGAAGAGCTATACCAACTGGCCTTGGAGATCTCAGAGAGTGTACATGGGCGCGAGAACAAGCGTACAATGTTCCATGTCAACAACCTTGCAATCATACTAGGGAGACTTGGAAAGTCGGAAGAGGCAGAAGATATGCACCGGAAAGTGCTGCAAGGACGCAAGAAAATGTTTGGATGCGAAGACTCTGGGACGCTTAGTAGTATTAGTAACCTTGCAGAAGTGTTATTAAAACAGGGAAAGTTGGAAGAGGCAGAAGACATGCAGCGACGAGCGCTGCAAGGACGGGAGAAGATTTTCAAGTATACGCACCCAAAGACACTTCACTGTGCCAATCACCTTGCGATACTATTAATGAAACAGAGAAAATGGAACGAGGCAGAAGATATGCACCGGCGAGTGCTGGAGGGATACGAGACGTTGTTCGGACACCAACACCCAAAAACACTCAACAGCCTTTACAATCTAGGCTTTCTTTTTCATAGACAACGGCGCTGGTTGGATTCAGTTGCGCCGTACCAAAAAGCGCATGACGGGTGTCTAAAAGCATTTGGCGCACAGCATCCATATACAAAGGACTGTTCATATGCTCTTGAGCTCGCTCGAAAGGAAGAAGCTCTTCCTCCCGGGTGGTTGTAAATATCTGATTCAAATAAAAAAGGGGGGCATTTTTCTTAGACTACATTTGTGCACCTGTTCCTTGACAAATAGTACTCTACACTACACATATGAATGCAGAGAAAAAAAATGAAAGGCCAGCCTGAACATATTCCCAGCTGTTGTCTCGATGCATATATCGTCCACGAATCGCATGCAACACTGAAGAAAACAAGTACCTTAAACACGAACCGATACATACAGAAAACCATAGCACAAACAAGTCTGTTCAAAAGATTTCTGATGCGATGGTATGGACAAACTTCCCCCCTTGCACCTTCCCTACCCAGACCAACGAGAACCCATATAGTCCCCCCCCCCATTCATATCCTGCTTCCACCACTCATACAACCCCCCAGATACTTCTTCCCACACTAACCCCCCCAAACCCCCCAAACCCACCCCATCACCACCTTCTAAAATTCCCTACAAAACATATCACACCACTACTTCCCCACCTGCGCCCCCGTTGTCACACCACCACTCGATCCCACCTGGCCCTCCACTCCAGCCCCACCACCACCGTTGGAAGATGTCTTTGTAGACGACGAAGATGTGTAATACGGCGTATGCGTTGTATCCCGCGTGCTGGCCTGTGGAGATGCGACACTACTTGCCGTACTACTATTGCTTGTGCTAGTATTATTACCCGTAGTATTTGGCCTGGAGACTTGAAAGGGAGCGAAGCGGATGGGCGGGATAAACATATTTGGAAATCCCCGTATTTTTTTTGGCTTTGAATGAAAAAGAACGTTTATGCGGGGGCTGGTTTGTCTTGGTTGATTTACTTTCTTTTTCCAGTTTGAGAGAGAGATGGTGGCAAATGATGATATATGAGGTTTGTCAAATATCGATATCGATATCGTTCGTCTTTTTTTTTTGGGAGGGGGGAAGGAGGGCAAGTTATTGAGTATTTAAATAATACAGAGACTATTTTCTTTACACTTTCCACTTGCTACGTCACACTATCTTTTTTTTTTTCGGTGGCTCGATGTCAAGTGTGGGAGAAGAGGGCCATCATCGCATTCATCGCTCCCCCCCCCTGTACTCCCCTCACCTGCGCGCAAAAAATAGATATTTAGCAGTAGATAGGTGTATGGGTATGTGTGCTATACTCCCGACGATTTCTCCGTATGCGAAGAAAGCGAAGCGTGGAAGACGTCAGAAGCAAGGCAGAATAGTCTTCTACTACAGTGATGAATACGTGGTAGTAATGGAAAAGAGGAAAAATAGTAGCAAATGATGATGATACTCGTGTTTCAGAAGTACGTTTAACTAGCCGATTGGTACGCCGATTTTTATTTTGGGAAGCAGAGGTACGATGATGTTCATGGATTTTGGTGACGGTGAACCGTATTCAGTGTTAGGCTCGTCTGCCTTACCGTTCAGCCCGGGTAGTTTTGCGCTAGTAGCGTGGGCTGTGTTTCTATGTGTGGATGTGTGGGGGGTGGGAGGAGAGAGAGAGAGGGCTAGCGCGCAGGCACATGATTTCGCGTCGCGTTGCTCGTATGCCCGCGGTGTGAGAAAATTTGGGACTGGGATGTGTGTGCTGATGCTAACACCGAGTATTATGGTGAAACATGACAGGTTTTTTTTGTGGCCGTGGCTCGGGATGTGGAGAGGGGGGGGGGGCTCTCGCGGAACTGAAATAGCCGGACAACACTAAACCACCATCAAAAGTAGGTACCCTGGACGCTAGTCGTTAACACGATAATAACGTTTGAATATCTATATTAAATATTTAAAATAATACGCTATACGCGGTTAATAGATACCTGGAGTTCCAGAAAACTAGACGTTGCGTGTAAAGGTGCAGGTGCGTGTCAAGTTGACTAAGTGGGAAAACGCTAAGGAACTAGCCCTTTTGCTTGCCTGTGTCCCGCCATTTCGGTTCCGCGAGAAAGGGGAGGGGGGATTTGGCTAGCAGCTGGGAACTTTTCAAGTGCCTGCGCAGGTGCTATTTATGGAGAAGTAGGGCACGAGTATGTACACTGTACATAAGGATGCAGATGGGGGCGGACATTTTGTTTCATGATGCGAAGGCCGTGGGCCATGTTTGGAATGCAAGGTTCCAGGACTTCAGGATGTGAAGTGTGTTCTTAGTGGGTTGTAGTGCTGGCATGTCACGTGCTTGGCGTTGATGTAACGGAAAGGAGGACGAGTTTGACGGTGCTTACTTATAAAAAAGAAAAGGAGGTGGGAACCGTTCGTGTCTCGGACATCTCACCGCTCCAGACTGCCGCCGTCATGTGAGTGGCGGCGGGTTCGTTTTTATGCGGTTATACGGAAGTGAAGGCTGCGTATGGTGGTAAACAAGGTGGTTGCCTCGGGCGCGGCATGGGTTGGTGCGCGGGTAGTGAGCGTGTGGTTTGGGGCACGGTGATGTGCATACTCAGTAAGTAAGTACGTACAAGGGTTATACTTAGAGCACAGGGCCAGGGCACGGAATTGACTTTCTATCCTTGGCAAAACTGCATCTACTTACACTACCACTCTGCTACACGACACATATATGGGTACGTAATAGTTATCGGCGTGTTGATGCAGGAGTGAGCAAGTAAGTAAAGTATGTGCGCACACCTGATATGTATACGACGACACTCTCGGTGTAGATCGCGTGTGTGAGCTGGTATGATCTGGGATGAGTCGAGATGAGCCGGAACGGATGTAAGGATTTGCCGGTGGTGCCAGCCGGTTTTCGTCCGTAGAAGGAGGGAAACGGTTCGGCACTCGCTATTTTCTCGTGCCGGCGCGGCGAATTCCTTGCCGTGATTGTTATGTACAGGCGATTCCCTCGAACAGTGGCACCTAAGTGAATCAAAGACGTAAAGGTAAAAGTACTGCCTTTTGGTCAAAGCACTTAACATGGTAACAAGGAAGAAGCGACGTTCAACCTGACCTTATAGAGTCTTTATCCGCCTCGTTGGCAGCCAAACCAGACCTCCCCAGCACGAGTCAAGCAGGACCATGTACACGAAGACCGCTGACAAACGCACCGTGGAGTGCGGACCGAAGGATTAAGTCTTCAAACGACGCACTGCATCTATCAGCCCTAAAAAGTGGGTTTGAGCCATGGCATTGGTCCAGCGCTCCCTCAACAGCGATTTCGTCCCTGCATGTAAGTTTGATCAATCCCCAGGCGGCGCCCTTTATTTCTTTCTAGTATGTTCGTATTTGCTTTTGTCTGACAAATGTGTGTCGATATGAGTGATCGATCTTAGTTCTGCTTGGCTGCTTATCGCTTTGTCCGGCTGTCATTAACGAGGGAATAGACCAGGAATGCCGTGTGCCATATACCGTATACCGCGTCACTCAACTCGGTGATTATCAACCAGATGTAAAAGGCGCCGTTAGAGACGCCGGCGCCACGGCGCAGAACTGTGTGATGGGGCGCGCCGGGCGGCTCAATCTTCATCCCCACACACATGGCGGTATAACATGTTACATGCACATGCAATCTACCTAGCTACTTAGCCCTCGACTCTTTGACCTCTCCGGTAGTTATTGACCCACTTGGCCCTTATCTCCGGTCACCGACCAGCCTTCGGGCAACCTTTGCTTATTGGTACTTATTATATTAACTAGTTGTTGTGATCCCTTGACTCGACTTGTTGCTGCCTCTGTTTTATGTGGCAAACTCCTCTCTTTTTTTTCTCTGTCCAACATCCCACCACCCATTTCCCTCGAGACGACCGCCTTTTTACGTCTATAGTTGCGACGACTTCACATCCCCTGATCCCTCGTTCACGACCCTTCAATTGTCCCCAGGGCACGCCCTGTTCCGCCCGCCATCATGGACAACCCTGGTGCGCGTGCTGCTCACCCACACGAGCATACCGAGGGCCCCACGTTCGAGGCTATCCACACTAACCACCACGATGACGCGAGCATAAACACCCCGTCCGTCAACGACACCACCGCGCGCAACTCCCCAAAGCCAGACGAAAAGGACAACAGTCATACCCAATATGGTGTCGATGTTCACCGTGCTGAAGCGGATTTTGCCCAGTTGTCCAAAGAGCTCTCACGCACCAGCAACATCTCACGCCGCATGAGTCGAGTCCAGAGCAAGCATAGCCGCAAAGATCAAGTCGCAGATGTTGAGAAGGTTGGCTCAGAATCCTCGGATGAGCCTTTTGATCTCGAGGCAACACTGCGCGGTAAGCGTGACGAAGAAGATGCATCTGGAATCAAATCTAAGCGCATTGGTGTAATATGGGATGGTCTCACCGTCAGTGGTATTGGTATGTACAGAATCCCTTGCATCAAAATCATACTTAAAATACAAATTATACATGGGATCCACGCTAACAGCTGCACAGGTGGTGTCAAGAACTATGTCAAGGTACGCCGTCAGCATCAGGCTTGGCTTTCCAGATTAGATGCATGTGATGACTAACACCCTGCGTAGACATTCCCCGACTCGTTCGTATCTTTTTTCAATGTCTTCGAGACCGCTGCCAGCATCCTTGGGCTTGGAAAGAAGGGCAAGGAGTTCGACATCTTGAAGGATTTCAAGGGTGTTACAAAGCCAGGTGAAATGGTTCTGGTCCTTGGAAAGCCAGGCAGTGGTTGCACTACCTTCCTCAAAGTTATCAGCAACCAGCGATATGGATACACAAAGATTGATGGAAACGTTCAGTATGGCCCCTTTGACGCAGACTTCTTCGAGAAGAGGTATCGAGGCGAGGCTGTGTACTGCGAAGAAGATGAGAACCATCACCCTACCCTTACCGTTGGCCAGACCCTCGACTTTGCCCTGGAGACCAAAGTTCCTGGAAAGCGACCCGCGGGTCTTTCACGAAAAGAGTTCAAGGAAAAGGTCATCACTATGATGCTGAAGATGTTCAACATCGAGCACACCCGAAACACCATCGTCGGTAACCCCTTCGTCCGTGGTGTCAGTGGTGGAGAGAGGAAACGAGTTTCCATTGCCGAGACCATGATTACGGGAGCCTCCTTGATGAGCTGGGACAACAGCACAAGAGGACTGGATGCTTCCACCGCCGTTGACTACGCACGTTCGCTGAGGGTCCTGACCAACATCTACCAGACGACGACATTTGTGTCCTTGTACCAAGCCTCAGAAAACATCTACAAGGTCTTTGACAAGGTCCTGGTTATTGACAGCGGACGACAGGTTTACTTTGGACCTACAAAGGAAGCCCGTGCTTACTTTGAAGGCCTAGGATTCTTGGAGAAACCCCGTCAGACCACCCCCGATTACCTTACCGGTTGTACCGACGAATTCGAGCGTGAATTCAAGCCTGGCATGAGCGAGAAAGACGTTCCATCGACCCCTGACGCTCTCGCCGAGGCTTTCAAAAAGTCCGAGATCGCAGCCAGACTCGACAACGAGATGACTGCCTACAAAGCTCAAATGGTCGAAGAGAAGCACGTCTACGACGAGTTCCAAATGGCTGTCAAGGAAAGCAAGAGGCACGCTCCTCAAAAGTCGGTTTACTCTATTCCCTTCTATCTTCAAGTCTGGGCTCTGGCTCAACGTCAGTTCCTGCTCAAGTGGCAGGACAAGTTTAGCTTGGTCGTCTCTTGGATAACATCCATGGCAATCGCCATTATCATCGGTACTGTCTGGCTGGATCTTCCAAAAACCTCTGCTGGCGCCTTCACACGTGGAGGTGTTTTGTTCATCGCTCTGCTCTTCAACGCCTTCCAGGCATTCTCGGAATTAGCATCTACCATGATGGGTCGGCCGATTGTCAACAAGCATCGTGCCTTTACCTTCCATCGCCCGTCGGCTCTTTGGATAGCTCAAATCGGTGTTGATCTTCTCTTCGCATCGGTGCAGATCATCGTCTTTTCCATCATCGTCTACTTCATGACGAACCTGGTGAGAGATGCTGGAGCTTTCTTCATCTTCATCCTCATGATCATCACTGGATATCTGGCTATGACCTTGTTTTTCCGAACCGTCGGCTGTCTCTGCCCTGATTTCGATGTCGCCATTCGTCTAGCCGCTACCATCATCACGCTGTTCGTCTTGACATCTGGTTACCTTATTCAATGGGAATCCGAGCAGAAATGGCTTCGCTGGATCTTCTATATCAACGCCCTGGGTCTCGGTTTTGCGGCATTGATGATGAATGAGTTCAAGCGATTGGATCTCACTTGCGCGGGAGCTTCGCTTATTCCCTATGGATCTGGCTACAACGACCTCAACTCTCAAGTTTGCACTCTGCCTGGCAGCAAGGCTGGAAATGCACTTGTTTCTGGTACTGATTACATTAAGGCCTCCTTCTCATGGGATCCATCTGATCTCTGGATGAACTTTGGTATCATGGTTGCGCTCATTGTTGCCTTCCTCCTTGCAAACGCCTTCCTCGGAGAGTTTGTCAAGTGGGGCGCAGGTGGCCGTACAGTGACCTTTTTCGTCAAGGAAAACAAGGAACTCAAGGAGCTCAATGCTCAACTACAGGAGAAACGTAACAGGCGCAATCGCGGAGAGGCCAACAGTGATGAGGGCTCGGATCTGAAAGTCGCATCCAAGGCAGTCCTCACATGGGAAGACCTTTGCTACGATGTCCCCGTTCCTGGTGGAGAGCTACGTCTGCTAAAGAACATTTACGGATACGTCAAGCCTGGCCAATTGACAGCTCTTATGGGTGCTTCAGGTGCTGGTAAGACGACACTCCTCGATGTGCTTGCCAACCGCAAGAACATTGGTGTCATCACTGGTGACAAGCTTGTTGATGGTAAACCGCCTGGTATCGCCTTCCAACGTGGAACTGCCTACGCCGAACAGCTCGATGTTCACGAACCCACTACCACCGTACGTGAAGCGCTCCGCTTCTCTGCCGATTTGCGCCAGCCGTTCGAGACGCCCCAGGCCGAGAAGTACGCATACGTCGAGGAGGTTATCGCTTTGTTGGAGATGGAAGATATCGCTGATGCTATCATCGGAGAGCCTGAAAGTGGTTTGGCAGTTGAACAGCGCAAGCGTGTCACCATTGGTGTTGAGCTTGCCGCCAAGCCTGAGCTACTTCTCTTCTTGGACGAGCCTACTTCTGGTCTCGACTCTCAGAGTGCCTTCAACATTGTCCGTTTCCTCCGTAAACTGGCTGCTGCCGGTCAAGCTATTCTGTGCACCATTCACCAACCGAACTCGGCTCTTTTCGAGAACTTTGACCGCCTCCTGCTCCTCCAGCGTGGTGGCACATGCGTCTACTTTGGCGACATTGGTAAAGATGCGCATGTTCTCCTCGACTACTTCCGTCGCCACGGTGCCAACTGCCCTTCTGATGCCAACCCAGCGGAATGGATGCTAGACGCTGTTGGCGCTGGTTCTGCTCCCCGTATTGGTGATCGTGACTGGGCGGACGTTTGGACTGACTCTGAAGAATTTGCCGAGGTCAAGCGACACATTTCCCAACTCAAAGAGGAACGCATTGCTGCTGTCGGTAGCGCTGAGCCAGTTGAACAGAAGGAGTTTGCCACGCCATTGTCATACCAGATCAAGCAAGTTGTCAGACGCCAGAACCTCGCCTTCTGGCGTACTCCCAACTACGGCTTCACCCGTATGTTCAACCACGTCATCATTGCTCTGCTCACAGGTCTCATGTACCTCAACCTCGACAACTCTCGATCATCTCTGCAGTACCGTGTCTTTATCATTTTCCAGGTTACCGTTCTTCCAGCTCTTATTCTTGCTCAGGTTGAGCCCAAGTATGCTATTCAGCGTACCATCTCCTTCCGTGAGCAAATGTCCAAGGCTTACAAGACGTTCCCATTCGCACTCTCCATGGTCATTGCCGAGATGCCGTACAGTATCCTGTGTGCCGTCACATTCTTCCTCCCGCTATACTACATCCCTGGACTCAACTCGAGCTCTTCGCGTGCAGGATATCAATTCTTTATCGTCCTGATTACTGAAATCTTCTCCGTCACGTTGGGCCAGGCGGTCGCTGCCCTGACACCTTCTCCCTTCATCGCTTCCTACTGCAACCCCTTCATCATTGTGAGTTTGCTTCATATCAATGCTATGAACTTTTGACTGACTTCAACTTTAGATCATCTTCGCGCTCTTCTGCGGTGTCACGATCCCTAAGCCCTCCATCCCCAAGTTCTGGCGTGTCTGGCTTTACGAGCTCAACCCATTTACACGCTTGATTGGTGGTATGGTCGTCACGGAACTTCACGGCCAAAGTGTCCAATGTACCTCCGCCGAATTCAACAGGTTCCGATCTCCCCAAGGTCAGGACTGCGGGTCATACATGAGTGATTTCTTCTCCAGCGGTGGACCGGGATACATTCGCGACAACCTGACCAATGTGTGCGAGTACTGCGCTTACAAGGTTGGCGATGAATTCTACACTCCTCTTGGATACGATTTCAGCAACCGATGGAGGGACCTTGGTATCTTTGTCGCCTTCATTGTCAGTAACCTGGCCATTCTCTTCATTGCGGCCAAGTACCTCAACTTCAACCGACGATAAATGCAATGCGCTGAAGGGCATAATGTGTATGGGATTTTACGAGTTTCAGGATACGTCAGTGAACGTGGGAGGTTGACACGACTTGAATGTGAGGATTTGCCGTGCTAGCCATGGTGCATCATATGGGGTTGCACCTATAGCTACAGCCATGTCGTCTCTGGATCTTGACATATCGTCGTTTTTTTGTATTTTTGTATTGAAGGATTATTTAGCTGACAAAAAGTACTGTCGTTGCATAGTATAGGAGGTCACATTTGGGACAACATATCTCCTCATTGGGTGGAGTTTGTTTATTTTTCGCCAGTCAGCGCGATTGTTTGCTGCACTTAGTTCACATACCTATACCTATAATAGTTTTTGAGATATAATTGCGTTGTCCAATGTTTGACTATATCTGAATTGAAGTGAATAAAACTCTTGTGGGCTAATGAATCAGGGCTGGACAGCGTTATTGAACAGTCTAAGTTGCTCGTTTGCCTTGAACGTTTGCTTCCACGCACGCTGCTTCTAGAACGAGCACGACCTTCCAATACAGTGACATGGCTCCTGGTGTGAACAAAGAACTCGTTCTTTTTATCTCCCTGGCTTCTTTGCGATACTTATGCAGAGCACTATACTACTGTTATCAACTGTCGTTATCAAAACGACACAGATCCACACAACGCCTTTGAAAGCATTCTTTCGCTTTGCACCATACATGTTTACGATATCGCTAGACTAGGAGAAGCAATCATGTCACCCATGCCCCCAGATATGCTAGCACATCCCAGCAACCAAAACGCAATACCGCATTTTCCATCTTCTTACACTACTATCTATCCAACGCAAACAAACACTGAACATCTCCGCGAACCCACCACACTTCCTCGCCCAAGCCACTCCCGCACAGCACACACTACGGAACCAAATCACTTCCCCATACCCCAAATCCAAGGCATAGTCCCCGGCTTCCGCCGCGCTCACCCCAGCACTCACATCTCACATTCACTCTCCCTATCAACCCCCACAACCCGCGATATCCTCCAAACACTCCACGCAACCAAATCCCCAACCACAACAAAGACAACAACAAAACAATCTTCCTACCCCCGCCCCTCCCCCCCAAACTTCCTCCACCCCTTCCCAATCGTCCCATACACAACCCTCCCTTGCACCACCAATCACACTCTTTACAGAGACAAAGCGATGGCAGACGCACCACCCCTCTCCCTCTCCACCACCCTGCCTATAGGCCTAAAACTGCTGTTTTTGGGCACGCTGTGTGCTGCGGTGCTGGGGCTGGCGTGGGTGGTGGTGGTGTGGTGTGTGGTTTGTTTGCCGCAGCGTCGCGACGGCGACGGCGACCAAGAAGCGCAGCTTCACCACAAAGAAACATGGCAGAGCGACCAAGGAAGGCAGTGGAGCGACAAAGAAGTGAAGCCCAGCAGCAAAGTACAACGTAACAGAAGCAACCACACGCAGCGGAGCCTAGGAGAAGCAGACGAAGGCATGAAAGATATGAGAGAGATGGGAGACGTAGCGAATCCCTTCGCCGACCACGCAAACATGAATGAAGATGAGGATACAAGTGCAGCGTTGAGTTCAGGGGTGCAAAGACCGGGTACATCGCGGTTTCGCGGGCGGAAGGATGGAGCGGTGGGGTCGCTGTGGAATCCGTTTTTGGATCCACCGGGGGAGGGGGAGGGAAGTGGAAGTGGAAGTGGGGGGAGGACGGACGAGGAGTGGGAAAGGGCGCGGGCGGTGTTTTTTGGGGAGGTGGAGGATGCTAGGGGTGAGATAGAGGTGGAGATGAGGGATTTGCCTTGTGGGCAAGTGAATGATGTGGAGGCAACCGCACTGAAAAAGGGTGATCGGCGGAGCGGTTTTGCGGCGGTTGTGAGAAGAGGAATCGAGATGCTGGATGAGGGGGTGGGTATGGTGGATGGGGTTGTGGATGATGCGGTTGCTGCAGTGGCGAGGTGGACGGATGATGAGCGATAGTAGGACGAAAGATAGAAGGTGGAAATGGTGGAGTGTCGAGCACATCGAACTGAGCAAAGATGACGATGAGGAATTAACCGAGTTGTTTATTCCTGTGCCAAGCTACGTATGTGAGACAGCGATAAAAATATTACTGCGTCTTGGGAGGAGAAAAATGGTATCATATAAGACGTTGTTTAAACGCCCTTTTTACGTCTTCCCATTGAAAGAAACAAGATATGAAAACGCCAACAATGCTCTCACCATTCAAGACGAGAAGAAGATTAATGAGATTCAAATGTCAAAATCCTTGCTCAGCAGCTCATGCGCTTCCAGGTCCATCTTCTTGCTAATGATACGCCCGGCCACCAGATCACCAACTTTGTCTACCAGTTTTTCTCGCACATCCTCAAGATTAGGTGCTGTGTATGTTCCCTCTCTCTTTGCTTTTTCGGCCCGTTCTCTGACTGCCTTGGGAACGAGAGCAGGGAAGGAACCGACGAGTACTTCGAGCAGTATCTCTGCGTCATGGCGCGTGCTCTCATCGGCCAGCTTCTTGGCAAGAAAATCCTCACTGTACATTTTTATGTTGGGTAGAATCAATCCTCGGAGAGCATCAGAAGGACCAAGGACGAGGAGCAGAGCTTGCAGAGCGCCAAAATGCGCGCCCACTGTTTTGTCAGGGTCCATGAATTGCTTCAGACATGTGCGGGCGATTCGGGATTTCAATCCCTGGTTTGATGACGAGTACTTTCTGCAAATATTCCGGAGAAGGTGTGCTGCAAGTGTTCGCAGGTAAAATGCATCAGAAGCAGCGCGGCTGTAGTCGGGTACCGCCCCGCCCAGAGTCTCGGAAGAGGCATTGGAGGGCGCGGGTTGATTTGCTGGTCCTAGCTTTCCACCAATACAGCAAGTCAGGATAGGTGGAACCATGTAGGCAATGTATGGGTCGAGGTAAATGGCCTGGTTGTTTAACAAGGCCTCGGAAGCGCGCATCATTTGGCTGAGTATGAACAAGTTCTTCATATTGTGTGTAACCTTTTCGGCTATGAAGCTCAAGAGATATGTTGTCAGCTGATGAATACCGGGCTCTGTCGAAATTGCGGCCAGGGCTGCATTCTGCCACTCAATGTTTGTCTCGTCGACAAGAGCGCCCGACAGCTTGTTGAACAGCTCTTGAGATTCCTTAGACAGCACATGCTTGACGAGGGGCTTGACGTTGACGTTGTCGAGCCCGTTGGCAGCAGCCAGATGTGGGTTTGCGTTGGGGCCCTTGGGTAACAAGTCGGCAGTGTTGGTGTTAGGGTTCTGGGGTATGGATGGCTGGACTCCCTCTACGGCGAGCCAGTGGGCTGGGCATAGTTAGAAAATGGGGGGCAGGGCAAGTGACGGGGCGTGTAGCTTACCTGTGAAGGTGATTTCCCGTGGCACCTTGGGCAGGGGAGCGTTGATGAGCTTTTCGAAATCGACCTCCTCATCCTCGACATAGTACAAGGGCTGGCCAGGCCCCAGTGAAGCCTCGCCGAAGCGCAGCGGCCGGGTAGATTCGTAGCCGTAGAGAGGCTCCACATTGAGCACCTTGAGGGCATTGGATATGTCCTGTGTGCTCAGTGTTGTCCGCTTCCCGTGTCGCATGAACTTGAGCGCTTCTTCCAGGACCTGGGCCAGACGAAAGTCGACGTCACGGGCTAGCTCTTCGACGACGTTGTCGGCGAGTGAGGCAATGCCTACTGATTCGGCCACGTCTCGTACATTGTCGGGGTTCCAGACTGAGGACATGATGGCAGAGTGTCGTGCGAAGCGCGGAGGGAATCAAGCGGAACGCAAGGAGGGGGCCGATGGGAGGGCGGAGAGGGTATCACCGGGCGGGTGACGCAGCGGCGGAATGTGTGATTGTTAGCCCTACGACCCAGTGAAGCACATGCCGGACGCGCGCATGCGCAGGCAGTGGGAAGATGTCGCCGCGGAGATTGGAAGCTGTGTATCCCCGTGTTTCATATACGACGGCGCGGTGATGACGGTCGTAGTCGCAGTGGTGTTGCTACTGTCGCTACTGCGGAGAGAGGTAAATTGACCCGCCCAGGGCTTCGATTGGCTGCAAGGCGGGTCTGCGCGTGCAGAGGGAAGTCGCGATGGGTGACGGTCCTCGCGTCAGTCTTGGCGCGCCACTTCGTCGTTACGCCGGCCATCGTCTCCCTCACCACCACCACTACACACTCGCCCGCCCACCCCACAATCGTCGAACTTACACGCACACCTTCACACATACCCCCGTTCACATTCACACCGATAGATGTAGTCGCTGCGTATGCACGCATCCACGTCAACAAGTGTGTAGGCGTGTGTAGAGCAACACCGCCCTCGGATTGGCAAGCTGTTTGCTTCACTTGAGAAATAGACAAACATTGCCGCTTCACCACGTGTTAGCCTCTGCCGACTCCTGTACCAGCGGCGCCAGAAATGTGTGCCGATGGCGGTCCATATTGCCGTCCTTCTGGAGGGCCGCTTTTCCCGCTGATAGTCCGATCCAAAGAGAACATCTCGCGTATCGACGAGGTCCTGGTCTTGTGTAGACCGCCATTTGCAAATGCTTCCGGGGAGGGAAAGCAAAGCTTACCCAGCAGTGCCATCGACTGGCTGTCACGGCTGCGGTTCGTCTTCCCCGCCGCCTCGTAGTCAAGGAGCAGTGCCCATCCCTGCTTACCGTTGTGCCACAATTGCTCAACTGTAGCTCGCCGCCACGTTGTTTCCCTCCCTTCCTTAGGTTCAGTATCTGGCCCGTAACCCAGGCATCTGCAACAGGCCAACATCTTGATTTGCTCTTCGTGCCCTTGTTCTATCAAACTGCCTCAGCTTCAGCTTCACCCGCTGCTTCGGACTTGGTGCTGCCTGACGCCACCCGTGTATCCCGCTCGGCCCGCTGTGACTCTCTGGTTGCCTTTTCCGTGGCTGTTTGGATACGCCAGCTCGACAGACTCCTGTGTAAGCCACTAAGCAGTGCCTAGAGGGTTTGGATTGGAAGCGTAACAAAACCGCGCCTCAGACTATTTAACCTCGAGACTACTTTAGCGTTTTGTCCCGCACAACACACTTTCCCTTCTATTCATCCCAACCTTTATCGAACCATAATATCAAGCCGTCTGTCCTGAACCTCAAACACCGCATCTATCTACTTCGCTGTCAATTCCATTCCTTTCACCATGGCCATGTTCAATCAATCGTTGACGGGCAGTACATCTGATCCCATCAACACACGCTCTTCCCATCACGAATCGAGTTTGGCAGTCACTATGCCACCGCAAGACCGGTCGAGAGACGACCCTCCATCTCCTCCCCCTCAACCTCCGCCTAGCCCAGCTCACTGGAGTCGCCTTGTTTCTGTAAGTGCTATTGTTAGAAACATTGTATCTAGCTAATGCTCTACCAAGATTGACACACTGGCCCCACTTGACATCTAAGTTCTGGCTCAGTAGCGCCAGGTCAGTAAGCAGCCACTCTTTATCCAATTTGACTCTGTTTGACGTTTCTCCAAAAGTCAACTGCGAATTCTCACATCAGCATTTTCCATCGACAATAATCTGCACTACCTTTGGGTCGGCTAGTCATATTCCGTGCTTCGAACCTTCACTGCCACGCTGGATTCTGTTAAGTATCCTGTGTCAGCAACATGAGTAGTGTAGGCTGATTCAGATATGGGTTTTGGCAGCCTTGGGCCTTTCTTTGTTTCGCTTATCTAGGGTGTGATTTGGGTGTTAAGGCGTTCGGTCAAATGAGTAGCTGGCTGTATTCTTGCACAGCTCAAGTACGCGGACATGTCTGTTCGATTTCGTAACGTACTACCGAGCGGAGCCTTTCTCTCCCCAAATACAAACGTTGCTTCCATTGCATTCCTTGTGTTCTGGTATATCTAGCCACTTATCTCCCTGCTCTGCGGGAATGGATACAAAGGCCAATGGCCTAACAAACCCCGGTTAGTGGCAGCCGCGGATGAGCTAGCCTAGCAAAACTACAGGCTCCACTTCGCGAGCGCGGGCATCTGATAATATTCCGGTCAGAACATTACACAGTAAGACGACTAAGCCTGATTGCCATGTCCAAGTATTATCCCCTGGTGCTACACTCCACCTCGCTTACTGATTAGCGCGCACTAGTCGCGTGGTCTTTTCGGCTTTTCCAAATTCGAAAACCCAGACAGTGCGGCTCCACCCCAGTTCACTGTACACCCGATCAAATATACGTGCAATCCTCATAAGACAAGCATTTTATCTCTTCTTGATTGCCTTGCACAACCAGGTTCCTACTGAAAATACACAAAAACCACGTCGTCTTCCGGGTTTTGCTGCGAGAGATATCTAGGTCTTGGCACGGGATCGACAAGTCCCCACTATCCGCCACCAGCGGTTACCCCACGGCATCTGCCACTTGGTAGCTCCTTTAAAAGAACACTCTTTCCTCATCTTACCTTCATTATTGGCCTTTTACCTCCGAACCGCACCGGAATCCTCCAATCACGTGCGGAATCATCATGGCCGCCAATGAGCAGGATACCACGGGACAGATTCTCCAATGGTACTCCAATCTCTACAGTCGCCGGGTCGACCTGGTAGGCGACTTCGCAGGGAGCGAGAGATTTCTCGTACACGGTGAATCACTCCTACTCCAGTGTTTTAGCGACCCACATCTCGACTTCGACCCAGGCTACCAATTACTACACGCCTCGTACACTGTCGAGAAATATCTGCAGGGCCTCCTGTCCCGCAGCTGCAACTTTCACATTGCTTTCTTTGACGAGCACCAGGAATTCTGTGTGCCTCAAGATGCCTCTCCCGCCATTAGCGAGAAGTATCTGCTTGCACGAGCAGCCATCATTCGTCATCTCAAGGTCAATCTGCCAGACGCCGTCCCAGAGACTGAAGTGCACACTTTCCCTTCAGCTTCTTCAGATGAGTTTGCAGAATACCTACGTGCTACCGATATCTACTTTGTGCTTTGTCACGATGGAGCTTCATTCACAGACATCC